CAAATCGGGTAGCTTACAGGATTTGAGATATCAATGTTTTGTAGCAGGATAGTTGTGATAACACTCTTAGGGCTATATAAACACCTGCTTAGCACACTTCCGTTCATTCCACATGGTGCTGCAGTGGCAGCTGGAGGGCAGTGGAGAGAGGAAGGGAGGATGAGGAAGGGAAGCGAAAAATCTACCGTCATATCATGATTGTGTCCCTTCTACTGTATGAAACACCATTGTGTTGCATACGCGTCACTTCCAGGAGGTGTTGGTGTCACAGGAGGAAGGGACCATAGCGGAGGATAGAAAGCTTGCGCAGGAAAGGAAGGTCCCGGCGGTTGACGGGGGACTAATCTGGTAAAGGATAAAGCATTTGCCGTTGATCAATCCCTTTTTGGGATGCGGCACGCATTCTACTTCCATTTGTACATTCGCAGTGGCGTTTGAATGCGATGTGGCCTATACAATGACTTGCGGGGGCCAGCCGATGTTCAAGTCAGTGTTTTTATCCTCCCAGACAAGTCTGGTACCAATTAACCGACCCCGGAGGGATGGAAGGCTTGGTTGGCCCGGGCGACTCACGACCCAGGATTTGATCCCGGACCGCTCGCGTGGCGCGCGCGTGGTGAGCGCGCCACTTGTCACTGCACCACTTCCGCCCTCATGTTATGGGTTGGCCTGCATACATTTTGGATTTAAAACTTGAAGAAAACGTCATTGTTTGGCAGATCTTCGCTGGTGGCAAGCAGTGAAACATTGTGGAAGACCTCGGTTGCGCTATCGTGACGTTGAGGTACCATGTGGATTGGCATTAATTTATAGAAGGCTCATGATCCGTTCAGGGAATATTTCAAAAGTAAAGGGTACAGAGATCGTTGCAGGCTAATCTGTCTTTGGCGCCACGCATCCGTCCCAATTCGGTGCATGTGGTGAAATGTTTTAAGCGAGAATCACTTTTACGCGACGTACTCCCAAACTTCACTCTATCCAGCCTGGTCACCAGGGGCCGGGTGCAGCAAGCCCCAACGAGGGGATGGGTCCCCAAAGTTCTGTGTCTCCACTCTGTCGATGACGCAACTCTCGTGGTTAAGAATAGGGGAAGAGTCCAGAGATGCAGAGTTTAGGGGACCCATCCCCTCGTTGGGGCTTGCTGCACCCGGCCCCAGGTAGAAAGTTTGAAGGGCGGAGAAGATGGGATCGGGGATCCCAAGCCAACGGTGGGTTGCTAGCGACGCCTTCCAGCCTTTTAGACAACTCGGTCGTGGCCACCGGACTGAATTGCGACTGCCACATGATATTTCAACGCGATAAGGCAAATTTCAGGCGCATTGTGCACTCCCAAATATTGAACATCACCGTAACATCTATAAGCCGATGGCAGAAGCGTGCTCTTTCCATAAAGAGGAAACCCCTAAGTGAAATCCATTGGACCAGAATCTTTGCACAGACACAGATTCATGGAATTTATAATGATCAAGAACTCGTCGTAATGCCAAAGTATAAGTCAAATTAACTTTGACGCTAAATAATCTATCTGGCAAGTTTACTCTTTTAATCTCCAAATTTACTTATTTATTTATTTGTTTATTTATTTCATTTATTAGACGTTGCAGGTGCCTATTTATTCGTATAATACGCTATGAGGTGTTAACCGTGTTTGATGCTAAGTGGTAAGAGCGTATGTTACCAGATCACGCGATGGAGAGAGTAGACTCAGCCGAGGGGTGCGGGTTCTGTCCCGGCCTGCGCGGCGAAAGTTTTGCTTCACAAACCCACATTCTTGTGAAACAGTAACTCATTCTTTTCGGCTTTGGATGATTTTTCATTGCGTTCCTCCGAAGTTGTGAAACCGTAAGAAGGCCAACGCTGATGGTGTGCAAGATACACTTCCCTCTCAATCACATTTAGGCGCTTGAAAGACGACCAGAACGTTGCCAAATAAATTTTCCCCCTAGCGAACTTCTAGGCAGAAGTAATGAAACACTTGCCAGTCGCATACGACTCCGGACGGGCCTGGATAAGCGCGACATGATTCGGTGGGTGAGCAGTTAGGTTATGTGAGCAACAATGGAGAGTTCTTTTAGAGGCAGGCGCGCGAACGGTTTTAGTAGTACCAAAAAAGTGGTGAATAATACTCTTGATGGTTCAATCCCTCGCGGCGACTAAATTTTGCAATCAAGGTTGGCGGCCACTTGTTGGCTTCAAAATGGTCCTGACGATGAATTTGACATCTGATTTTGATATTTAGCGCGATTTGGCACCAAACCGTAGGCGCCAACCCAAATGCAAAATTTAGTCGCCACGGGGGATCGAACCCTTAACAGTACCTTATGCTTCTTTTTTGGTACTGCTATTTGACCGATTCAGCGAAATGAAACATGGTTGGTTGGTGCCTCAAATTTGCACAAAACCATTTTGAAACGAAGTGCGCTTGGCCCTGAAGGAAAAAAGATTGCGCGCTTGCCCCCTTCTCAGAACACAAGGCAGTACGGATGGCTTTGTGCTCACTATTGTACTGGTTGGGGCTGCACCTGGACCACAAGTCCGGGGCGGCGACAATGGAGACGGTAGAGGTTGCATAGGCCAATTTGCGAGAGGGAGGAAGGAATGGTCGCACAAGCCGCTGACCCTCGGATTTCGAATGACTCTACGACTTCGAATGGAGCTGTGAATGCGCATGCACAGCCTGGGGAGATGGATTCGAGCCGGCCGACTTGAATATTGAGACCATAAACAAATTTAACCAAGTACAAAAATTGAACACACCGCTGGACCGGTATGCTTAAAGGACGAATTCACGATGAAAAAGCAACCCATTTCAAATTAACCTAGGGATGGTGAGTGGTACACGAAAGAAGGAAGAACCATGAGAAACGGCCCAGAACCCGAGAAATGGGACCCCTTCCTTGCCCGTTGATTCGAGCATTGATGCGACTCTCATCGCTGTGCCCTCTTCAACACTACGCTCTCTCAGCTATCTAATCACTCGCCACGTATTGAACTACGGCGAGTGATCAGATGATCGGTGGGCGGAGATCGCCGGACCCGCCAGCTTTGAGGCATGATAGGTCGCCGAGGTCAAATTTTTCCATGCGAATTGCGCGTCAGTTCGCACCCTCAGGAGGTCCGTGGGTCCCTCAACTAGGTCAGTTTCCCTTTCTTCGACCTTCATTCTAATCGTGAATTCCTCCTTTAAGGCTTGGTATACGCACACCATCGTATGAATGTGTTGATGCCCTCGGCGTCTCGCTTGTCTCTGCACTCGCTGCATACTAGGGGCGCACTTCCGCTTCTTTCGTTCAACACAGACTTGGCGTCCACCCCTCACAAAGATACGCGCCTCTAATTTTCGAGTGTTCCGCTGATTTTCTCGTCGTTTTTTTTTTTCATTACCTAATGCAATGAAACGCTGGGAGACAAATCATGGCCACTCTGAAGTAATAAGCTTTGAAAAAAAGTCTCGGTGAATTACACAATGAAACACCCGTATTACCAACATTTTATTATGCCAAACATTCAATCCTACAATAAATGACATTTCTCGCCTCTACAGTATACCGTAGCTGCTACCACATATTCAGCAATAGGATTTGATCACAGATTGATAATAAATGGACTGATAAAACCTTGCCATTCCATTCTATTAGAAACTCAATGAAAACGCTTTGGAATGAAATGAAAAGGAGAACAAAATATACCTTTATGATTCTAATACTGCATTAAAGAACTTTTACAAAAGAAAATGAATAACCTCTCCACGGCTACTGATTTTAAGGAAAACGTACTGCATATTCAACTACTTTCTGCAGTGCTATTCAAGAAACATGCTGCACCAATCCCGGCGGACCATACAATTGGCTTGAAACTGGCTTTCCTGGCAGCTTACACCTGCTGCATCTTCTTAGCACAAAAAAGACCATCCAACTGGTGTAGTCTGAGTCGCTTCGCCAGCTAGCACTGGCCCTCCTCAATGCCGAGCACGCTCAAGAAAAATCAATTTCACTTATTTTCTAGGTGAAGGCAGGCTGCGATACATCGCCCGAGGTATGTTCTACTACTTTACGCCAAGCGGCATGTTTCGACCCACAACCAGGCATTCCGCGTCGGAATTCACTTCAATTTACTTTTGCAGAAAAGCTATTTAATTTTTTTCTTAAATTCACGTTACTACAGAAGAGGGGAAAGAGGTGCCGAGCACATAAAACAAATGAGTAAATTATTCTACTTGGCCTTTTTTACACTCGATGATCTTGCAACCTTTGCACATATACTCCTCTTTCAAAAAAAACGAGAAGAGCGTCGGGTGCAGACCATACACCACAAGTGACGACGGCCTCCACAAAATGTAAATGTTTTCTGCCAATGAAATGATTAGCCTGTTGCAGTTGTATTCTATCAGTTGTCACTAATTACAACTATCATTTACCAAAAATCAGCTATCACTATGAACCACTAACCAGATTTACTTGGAGGCCGTCGTCACTTGTGGTGTTTGGTCTGCACCCGACGCTCTTCTCGTTTTTTGAAAGGAAGAATAGAGGAAATATGTATCGATCCATTACATCATGGTAATGAAACTTTCGTATCCTATTAAACGTTTCGTTTTTTGAATAGCACCGCTCGTCACAGTTTCAATAGAAATCCTCGAAAAAAAAAATTAAATCCAATAAAACCTTTTCACGGAAGACTTTTTGAAGAATTTAAAGCCAATATGCTTGAAAGTGTTCAGGAGAAAAATACTTTGAGAAAAGAACCATTCACAGAAATCGATCAATAAAATCAATAAAGTTCTGAGTTTCCACTGAGGAAACATGAAAACAAACACATATTAGCAATCGAAAGAGAACCCTTGTAATACTACGGCAATAGGAATTCAAGCAAAATTTCGCGTAATACCCGAGTACTTTCAACACAAACACAATCACAACAGAATAGGTATTACAACGCTAAAGAAGACGGATTTGAATAGAAAATCACAGAGAATATTTGATGTAATCCAAACAATACCGTGCCATTGATAGCATTCGTCGGTGAAAGCTCAGGTACGGCTGAGATCCAGCTGCAGGCGAGATGGGACCTTAAAAGAAAATTTATTTTGAAAGGAGGACTTTTATAGCGCATTTTCAAAGCTCAAATACATGCACTGCGCCTCAAAAGAATAACTCCAAACACTTCAGTGCCTTCTTTTCCTCAGCTTAGGTTACGGAAACCTGGGCAAAAATGTGCCAGAAGTACACGCTGCGCGCCAACTAAAAAATTGCCGGGCAAGTGGACGCCGCTAAACGTTCAGACATGTTGACGTGCTAACGCATTATGCTTCGATTGGCTAGAAGATTAGTGCTTTCTACTGCACTCGTTCCACCTGTAGACCTCCAAAGCCAGGCATAAAGTATAAAGTCCTAACTCAGCACTATCCAAGGCTCCCAAACCTTCTTCGCCGTGGAAGACTGCACCCCACATAACCTAGTTACAAATAATTACACACGGAATATTGAGCCTGAATAAGAAATAGAACTATTCGCAATCGAAATCATCGCCATCCGGACCATTACCCTAATCCTAGCTAGGCATGTGCTAGGCCTTATCCGCGCGTGACACTAGGCCAGTCATATCATATGATGCGCCAGCAGAAATCTACTATATAAAAACCAATGTCAAGGACTTCATGGACATTTATACATTCCTACATTTATAAACGGCGCCCAAAAAGATTCTATTCAGGACCACAAATATTACAGTGGAGAGGCAAAGACATTTTGCCCATGTCGCACTTTGGCCTTTTTTTCTTCAGAAATTGCCGTCCTTGACGGAAGTAACCCAGCAAAGTATTCCCTGAATGGCCCGCGCGTGCTATAAGTAGACGCAGGCCCTCCTCCACTGCCCTTACCGTCTTCAGAATATGACGTCATCTGTCATCGTCGTCAAGCTCAAGGAGGCTTACGTAACTTGCTTCAGCCTGAAGCTCTTACGTGATTTCGTGAATCGATTCAAGTTCCCGTTGGATAGTTCCCTACTATGCACCCCCCCCCTCGAACACGGTTTTTAAAGCAAAGGATCGTGATGGTAACACAAAATCCTTGGCCCCGATTTTGAAGACCCCACTGAGCTCGAGCATGCAATTTTGCTGATACCAGCCAACGTAGATAGCCAATATTGAAAGATTTTCTTTCAAAATGAAATTGGCTTCTTCAATACTAAGTTGGAACCATTCGGGTTGAATTGAGCGCAAGTGTGACTGAATCCATCTGAATGTGGAGAAAAAATGTCTTTTTTTGCCCCCCCCCCCCGTACAAACAAGTTAAGGATAATAAATACTAGGAAATCAGCGGGGATCGTAAGCGACCAGAAGTATGTAGTCCTTTGGGGACGATTCATGCATTCTCAATATTCTCGACACATGCATACCACACTTACTGGAACTTCACAACGAGTAAAAACTTACAGTAATATGGTCTCTATACATTTACGTTAACCTGAAAATTTCATTACACTTAGAAAACTCAGGCTTCTGATGGAATTTGTGCAGAATCACCGAAGGATGAACGTAAAAGCTATACCCTTGAAGCTAACTCTAAATAGCATCATCTCTGCTTACTTCCAGTAATAGTGTAAATAGAAGAAGTTAGAGACCATGAATTGAAAAGGACTGCAAATAATTGAGCTATAATTTGAAAATGAAGCGTAAACAAGAAATCAGAGGCTGAGCAGTATACACATACACACATATAATACATGAAATTTTGAAAAAAAATATATTTCCTCCCTGGTATCATCACTCGTAATTAAATCCACGAAACATACCGTAGCTTCAGTGTCGTCGAAAAACTGACGCTCCCAATCCAGTCTGTCAGGACCTGGGGTGTCCAACCCATTTGTAGCATTCGCTGGCCTCACGCCACCCATAGGAGCATAATTGGCGGCGGTCTGTTGAGGTGCTGCTCCACTTTGTTGCGACGCAGCTAATCTCCAGCGGGCTGTACCGCCGATCAAGTCACTTCGCCTGGAAAGGTAAATAACACCATAAAATAATAGAAAAAGAAATTAAGAGCAAGGTGATGGATAAGTACCTTTTCTTGTTGCTATAGATAATCTTCGCAATCACTGCGACTGCTACCACGAACAGGATTATTGACAGGAAGACTAATCCAGACGATGAAGATCCATCTGGTAATGGAACCAGCGTCGTTAGTTTTGCAGCTGAAACTAGCAGTCTTTATCATGTCACTGACACAACATATATGACACATAAACGTCAGAAAATCGATATCCATTCCTATAGATGTGGAATGGTGGCAAGAAAACGTAGGAAAAGTGGTGTAAATCACATGGTTTATTTGGGAGACTTATGTACTCAAGAAGCTCATAAAATTGTCCACCACTCCAAGAACTTATGGCTGAGGCACGTATACAGTAGTGGCCAGAAATTTATGAACAAACGGTTTTTTCATGATTTCTCTTTTGAAAGTCACTGGAACGTCTCCAAATTTGCAACAATTATTAACTACGTGTTTTATGATCCACACAGAAAATTTCAACCTTCAGCTCAAATTTGGGTTTAGAAAATTTTAGATTTTTCGAAATTAATGAAGGCAGGTGAAAGATCACTTGATCCGTTTATTTGATTTAAAAATAATGTATAACCCAACAGAACAGTCAAGTAAACAGTCACTAACATTAAGCAAGTCTAGCACATTGCCCAGAACTCTCTAAAGTATTGGATACATAAACTGGATTTGAATGCGGGGTCAACTAATGAACTCACTCTCTAGTGGGGTCTCTCTCTGTAGTCCCGTCTTTTCGTGGCTCTTTCATTGACATACGAATTTGTAGGTCCTCCCCTAGTGGTTCTGTAATGTTTGGCTCAAGAGTCTGGCCTGGCTGGTCTTTTAAAAGCACCCCATGCTGTCGAAACCACTCCTGCATGTGAGAGGCCCGATGCTTTGAGTCGCTGCTCTGCTGACAGACAAAGTCAGGTCGGGCGGCAGCCATGCCTACGGATACAAGACACCTTCAAAACATGACAGCAAACGTCTGCCTTCATCGCTACCTCAGTCGTGGGCTCCCAGTTCACTTTTTCCTAAGGCAACCTTATCAAGCCTTCGCCAAGTTTCACAATTGGCAGCTGTTTCTTTTTGGATCAAAACGTTCCCTCTCGTGGTGCCGTACAATACTAGTATCCTTGCTGTCATGCATCAGTAATATGTTTTTGTCATTCCAGATGACCGGTCTTAGAGACTCTGTCTGTCAACCTTTTTTTTTTTCAAGAACGTAGTCCAACCCACCGCGCTTCTGCGCTAACTCCCCCCCACTTTCACAGCGAGCGCTCTTCTTAGACTTTGAGAACTAAGGAATACGTAGTATAGACTTAGATTCTAGAAGATGTTATGTATCCGTAGACATGGCTGCCACACGACCTGGCTTTGTCTGTCAGCAGAGCAGCGACTCAAAGCATCGGGCCTCTCACATGCAGGAGTGGTTTCGACAGCATGGGGTGCTTTTAAAAGACCAGCCAGGCCAGACTCTTGAGCCAAACATTACAGAACCACTAGGGGAGGACCTATGGATGCGTATCTCAGTGAAAGAGCCACGAAAAGACGGGATCGCAGAGAGAGACCCCACTAGAGAGTGAGTTCATTAGTTGACCCCGCATTCAAATCCAGTTTATGTATCCAATACTTTAGAGAGTTCTGGGCAATGTGCTAGACTTGCTTAATGTTAGTGACTGTTTACTTGACTGTTCTGTTGGGTTATACATTATTTAAATCAAATAAACGGATCAAGTGATCTTTCACCTGCCTTCATTAATTTCGAAAAATCTAAAATTTTCTAAACCCAAATTTGAGCTGAAGGTTGAAATTTCTGTGTGGATCATAAAACACGTAGTTAATAATTGTTGCAAATTTGGAGACGTTGCAGTGACTTCAAAAGAGAAATCATGAAAAACCGTTTGTTCATAAATTTCTGGCCACTACTGTATATGTAAATATTACTGAGTACTGATGCGCGTTAAAAAGAATGAACTCAAACCGGAAGAAGTGACATAAGTTAACGGGTACTGCATAAAGGAGCAGATGGTAGGAATGCACGGCGTTAGCCGGGCATTCCTACTCCCAAAAAAGAGTAGAGGCACGGAATCGGCGGAAGCGCCGAATCATAGTACTGAGTGGTCGTATCGACCGGCTACGCCGTGCTCTACTCCTTTTTGCGAGTAGGAATGCCCGGCTAACGCCGTGCATTCCTACCATCTGCTCCTTTATGCAGTACCCGTTAACTTATGTCACTTCTTCCGGTTTGAGTTCATTCTTTTTAACGCGCACTCCGTAATCCAGCTACGATCGGCTCCGTGTCAACAGAATCGATGGGATCGCCGCGCCAGTAGGCGTGGCCACGACGGCGCGGCGGGTGGGCGTGTCCATTGCCAGATATCGGATGTACTAATGGCGTGGGACTTTCTGAGCATTCCGATGACTGTGATTGTGAATGACTGTTCAGCGGAATTTCTAATTGTTGAACCCTACGTGTTCTACTTCGGAGCAAGGATACAGTCACTTTCATTAGCTATCTTAATATTGTAGTTGTTCCTTATCTAAATCTATAATAAGCATGTAGCTTTTTGGGCTTTGTGATCAAAACATGAATATAATTTGTCTACACTACTACCAAGTTTCACTCACAGTGTCTCTAAACAGCGCCATTATTTTACAAAACACATTTTCTCTATGAGAACCGTGTGGTAGCGAACAAAATAAAGAACTACGACGACCAGTAAGGTGATCCTATCTTTGCTCTGATTAGGTGTGTTTCCTGGACAAATAACTTGATTATTCTGATGTCTAAAAGAATTGAGAGTCAAAGTTTCGACTTCTTCCTTTTGCTGTAAGCCAAACTATTGAGGTATTTGCTTCGATGCGCAATCGTGATTCAGCTCTTACACGCTCTCAACACGCTGAATTTTTGAATGTGGTCATAAAAAAGATGTTCGGGATGAATCGTTCACTCTGGGTTCGTTCAAACAAAAAGGATGTTTTAGATAATGTTGTAGTCAACCATATGATAGCCACACCATATGATAGCAAGCAATAGCTATTTTTAGGTCTTATTCCTGCGAATATATAATAGTTGACTATTAAAAGAATTGTTTCGAGTCAACATAGTGTTGCAGTCATCACGGCAAAGTACCTTGGGACAGGTTCTGTAACCATTGTTTTCCCCAGATATAACCAATTACACGTATGGTGCTGGCGGCTTCGCCTCAGGCTCTTGTCTTTAGGACTAGGTCGCACAAGATCTTCATTGCTCGGACAAACAACAGAAATGTCCAGTGAGGAGAATCCAATTGAGATTTCGTTTGAATTTGTTGTTTAGAGCCCCAGAAAGGTTGCGATAAGCCGCGGTATATATGACTCGATGCAACAGTTTTTGTTCATAGCATCCACATAACTCTTACTGGAAACTAGTAGCGAGCGTCAGCTCTGTTGCCTCGTAAGCACGTGGTAGTACTCGCTACTCATTTTCAAGGAGTGGTTGGAAGAGCATAAGTCTTGGTAACTGAAAGAAGTTCTTTCGTTTATTAATAACCACTTACATCTGTTAGTTAAAATTTGATATGAATAATTCAAGATATAAGTTAGGGAAACCGTGTCAAAGAAGAATTTCCAGTTCTTAAGCTCTGCAATTACCAAAGAACAAATAGTATTGAATCACAGGTGGTTAAAATGATGAACAGTGTATTTTAGAAAGGCACGGTCATCATAGTTTGGAGGAGTAAGTCTACCCACTTTAAGTTTCACGCTGTAAAACATCCTACTAGTCACAAAGAGAGAGTATGAAGATCGCCATCCTACTCAGAAGTCGATATAGACAACACTCGTCCTGAAGGCTCCGCCCCCTCGCCGCACGATTGGCCGCACGCGGTGGCGCGACGAGCCATCGATTCTGTTGACCGTTCCCCGCCTATGATTCAGCATCTCATTCGAGCCCCTTGCGCGTAAATCGATGTTTTCAATCGATATCGATCTGTAGCATGTGACCCTATGGAATTTCTACTTTAACGACAACACCCAATCAATACTGCGACTCCCTAACCCCAATCGAGCCTTCTACGACAAAAACCGATATTTCCAATCGATATCGATCGATAGCGTGTGAGTCGAAGGAATTTCCATTTTTAAAACAGCACCCAATCAATACCTGCGACCCTAATGAGAGTTCTACGCAAAAATCCATATTTTCAAGGCGCAGCGCCGCCCACGGCGAGCATCGACTCCGCCCCTAACGTACTCACTTTGAGGCGAGCCCTGTACCCCAACGGTACATGCCCTAAGGGAAAATCCCCACCCGATCGATGATTGATCTTCAGTCTAACAATGCAAAACCTTGATCAAAATGCCGCCGAGCTGATGCCACACAGTGAAATTTCGTGCAAATTAGCTCTATCAAACAGTTCTGTTATCCATGCTATACAAGATATATGAAGCTTGCTTAATAATTACTGGGAATGTTGAAAATGTTTTAAATGCGCAAAGAAGGAAATTTTAAGGTGGCACCCACCATTGGGTGCCATTGTCCCACGCGGCAACATAGTGGCACCCACCGGTGGGTGCCATTGTCACCAAAGGGTTGAACACCTTGAACATGCAACTAGTTCCCACGATTGTGATGCAGCACTTCTACAAGGTCACGCCATCTATCGTTGAGAAGGATAAAGAATTCTCCGCGAAAATCATGCCATCTAATGTTAAGCGGGATAAAAGATGAAGTTCTAATATAGAAGGAAGAGGCAGGCGTCTAGCGCCACTTCCCATGCGCACCATCCATTGGTTAAATCTCAGATCGGATTTCGCCCAGAAAACCAAGCCTTCCATCCCTCCGGGGTCGGTTAATTGGTACCAGACTTGTCTGGGAGGATAAAAACACTGACTTGTACATCGGCTGGCCCCCGCAAGTCATTGTATAGGCCACATCGCAAACGCCACTACGAATGTACAAATGGAAGTAGAATGCGTGCCGCATCCCATGTGGGATTGATTAACATTGAGAACTTTATCCTTATCCCTACCTTTTGAAAACGGACCACACATCAAATAAAAAACGAAGGACAGTAGATGTAATGAAAAAAAGAGAAATAAAGAGGCACCTGTCGTTGTAGCAATGCCAGTGCTCGTGACTGGCATCGTAGTAGTGGTTGCTGTGGTCGACGTGGTAGTGGGCACCAACTTTGCAGCAGTCGTGCTCACCTAGAGAACATAAGTTTTACTTGAAAATGACATCCATCATACTTATAAATAATGTTTTCCGGAAAGCTTATACGCCTCCAACACAGGCTATTTCAGTATTGGTCAACCCAATAGTTTGTTTGGATGATCGTAGGCTGGTTTGATTAGGCTTATTTGCAAAGATGTGCTATCCTTTTGTTCATCAGAGTATGTCACGACGATGTTCTCGGCACCACTTTCCGGGGCCACGGTAGAGGAAAGAAAGGAAACGAAGGTATGCTTGGGTGACTGAATAATTATAAGTGAACAAAATTGGGAAGCACTAAAATCTATTACGTAACACAAGGCGACAGAAACCACCGTATTTGATGGTGGTCACTGGATGCGCAAAACCAGAGACAAGATCCAAGAAAGCGACCAATAGAACTGACAAGAAAGCGTATACCATGTCTCTGGTCTAATTTCTTCGGAAAGCCGTGAATTATAAAAAGCTATAATGAACCGTTGCAAAGAGAATTCGGTGACGAAAAGCATCAAAAATTCCAATGTAGGAAGACTAAAAAGTGCAACGAGGTACCGCAACCCTCTAGAGAGCGGCGGAATTATCAAGAACAGTCAAGTCAAAAAAAAATTAGAGAATTTCCCGCTAGTAAGGATTTACATCCACAATTTTTTTCACGGTTAATCCGTTTGGAAAGTTTACGTATGACCTGTATGCGAAGCGAAGGAGTGTGAACCTAGCTCAACATGCGTTAGGCACCCGTTCCAGGGATGGCTGCGAGATCCCCAAACTCTCACACTTGTGGTAGCCCTCGCTGTAAGGCTCCAGTCGTTCGGACGTTGCGCCAGGCAGAGGCAGAGCGTTCACGTCGGTGATGACGTCAGCACCGATGAGACTCGCCTCAACGCGGAAATGAACTGGGAGAGTGGAGGTTCCATTTCATGTTTTAGGCAGTTTTCCTTCATTTTTTTCTGCACCTTGCATCACTACATCTACCTTCATTTCCGACTCATCATTCGGGTCACTTTATCGTTAAATCACATTCAAATGAGGACATCGACCCAGCAGAACTGCCCACAAACTTCCTCGATCGTTAACTACGCCTTTCAACTTTGCTTATGCTATCTGTTACATAATTGACAGCGCCAAAAAACCGATACTCCGCGATCAGCGCGATAAACGCGGCCCTTTTGCGGTTTTCTTCCACTGGAAAACTTTTGTACACACGTGGGCCAGCTCATTTGGAAAGTAGACGAATTGGACTGTGACGAGATGATGAATGGTTAATTACGAAAGTTCTTAGAAGCTATAGTCACAAAAAAATGAGAAAGAATGACAGTTGACATATGATTATATCTGGTCACTAATTACACTACGCTTATAGGGAGCGTCAGCACAAATGTCTGCACAGGAGGCGGCATAGAAATCGAATTCCTACCAAGTTTAACCCTTTCGGACCTGAATTTTTCCCCGTGGAGAAATTTTTCTTCTAGCTATTGTTTATTACTTGTGAGCATATAGGTATCATTATGGCGAAATTTGGAAGCTATTCGATCACAAACAAAGAAAACTAAGAAGCTTTGAAAATTGGCCCACCTTCTTAGTTTTTAAGCTTATGTCGAAACAATTCGAAATTTCATAGTTATGCCGAAAAAGTTTATAATCTTGCATAATATTATAACCCATAATTTTGATTTAGGAATGGATCTACTTCAAGTATTTTAAGAAAAAGTCACACTTACTTGGCC